GTTTTCTACATTCAATGATCAGATCTATGATATGCCGAGGTTGTGTTCTCCCACTACAGGTACACGTCTTTCCATCTGTTCTTTTCATTGGCTGACAGAGAGATGCACATAAACGAGTTCTTGGATAGTCACTAGACTTTGTGTGAAAAATAAAACGGAAGACATTCTGTCTGTCAAGATGGTCTCTGAGTGCTATTTTTGCATGTAAATGTAGACAAAACCACAGCACAGCTATGTGGTGCATTTCGGTCACATGTCCTTACAAGTCCTTAAGTACAGATTATACAAGACAGTCACAAAATTTTACAGGTTATCAAGACAAAAATTAAATTTCGCTTAAAGATGGCTGTGGTTTGACTACTAAGACTGATGATTACTACAAAGCAAAAGTTATCAGAATCCCAGTAGCCCATAATATACTTCTATAATAGTTACGTATTTTTAGCTCTTCCTATAATAAATCTTTGTCTGTACAAAATATATAGCTACACCAGCTTAACTGGTGTTGTTTCAAACATGTGTCTGAATATGTATGTGTTTATGTCATAATGGCATATTGGATAACCTTATAGATATACTATACTGCCAAAAGTGATCCCTCATTTACACATATACACATCCCATTCTTAATCCACAGAGTTTAATATGATGTCAGCCACCCTTCACAGCTGTAACAGTTTCAGCTTTTTTGATAATTTCTGACAATTCTTCTAGAAGCGCATTGTGAGATCAAACACTGATGTTGGACAAGTAGGCCTGGCTCACAGCTTTTGCTCTAATTAATTCCAAAGGTTTTCTGTCAGGTTGAAGTCAGGACTCTGTGCAGGCCAGTCAGGTTCTTCCACACCACACTCACTCAGCCGTGTCTTTATGGACTTTGCTTTATGCACTGGTGTGCAGTCATGGCTGAACAGGAAGGGGCCGTCCCCAAACTGTTCCCACAAATTTCGAGCATGAACTTGTCCAAAATGTTGGTGCTGAAGCATTAAGAGTTTCTTTCACTGCAACTAAGTGACTGAATTGGCTGCACTTCCACTCTTTCACCAATCTTTATAGAAACCGTCTGTATGCCTAGTTACTTGATTTTATACACCTGTGGCCATTAAAGTGATTGGAACACATGAATTCAATGATTTGGATGGGTTAGTGAATAATTTTGACAATATAGTGTACATATTAAGTAAGAAACACCATGATTCTATTTCGTATGGAAGCTTGTTTTTGCCACTGGAAAAAAAATGGCCTGGCAGACGTAACCTGAGATTTTGAATTATTATCTCACAATTTCAACTTTATTTAGCTCAAATTTTGACTCACTGACCAAATTTCTTGAAATTTTGACTTCTGAGTGACTTTTTTTGAAAGCTTTTTTTTTTTTAATCTTGTGTGTGTTACAAAAATATTACTACTATGTTGCACAATAGTTCCAGTATGTGTTTAATACTTGTATTACGACATTTTTATTTGTCTGTAAAGTAAATGTCAGTGTTTTACTTCAGGTGTTACATGACTCTGACCACAGCACTTCATCTCCACCGTGGAGGCTCTCCTAAAGGCCCAGCTGGTACTGGAAAGACAGAGACAGTAAAGGACTTAGGAAAAGCTCTAGGCATGTATGTCATCGTAGTCAACTGCTCTGAAGGACTGGACTACAAGTCCATGGGACGCATGTACTCTGGCCTGGCTCAGGTAGGAAGTAGCAGAGATGATGATATCAGGTGACCACAATAACTGTAAAAATTGGTACATTAATGCTTTTCATGCCTTGAGTAATTACCAGCTGTGATGCTGTATGTAGTACATGACTGTATGAAAAATATCTAGCTGAAACCTTTTTGGCTTCAGTAAATTCTGAATAGCGTTTTCTTTTTGTGGTATTGACCCTTAGGCAGGCCAAAGGTTTTGCATGTCAGCTAAGGAAAAAACATAATCTACATAATCTGATTTCAAATTTGTGTGTATTTCATTATGTCCACCTCAAATAGACAGGAGCATGGGGATGCTTTGATGAGTTCAACCGTATCAACATTGAAGTGCTGTCGGTGGTGGCCCAGCAGATCCTGTCCATCCTGTCTGCTCTCACAGCTCTGCAGTCCAAGTTCTATTTTGAGGGACAACACATCCGTCTGGTCTCGTCATGTGGCATCTTTATCACCATGAATCCCGGTAGGTCAACAAAATTGTGCAATTGTCACCATATGTATATAAGATAAGATAAGATAACCTTTATTAGTCCCACGCGTTGGAAATTTGTTGGGTTAAGGCTGCCGACCTTCGCCAGCGCCATCTTACCCTTCCGACCATACATACATTACAACATCACATGGGGAAGACAGGTCAGAGAGGTATAACAATGGAAAATGCACAACATGAGGAAAGACGAGGAGAAAAAAGAACTCCCCCCAGACTGAGCTCCAACAGGGAGATCAGTTTAAGAACAGAAAAAAAACACCTCAGCACATGAATCAGCACATCTCACAACGTAGAAGACATAAGCTTCGAAGGTGTTTGGGGGGTGAGTGTAGGTCTGTGTCAGTGTACATGCATATGTGTGAGTGTGTGTTCCGTGTTCAGCCGAGAGAAAGTGTCCCTTCACCCGGTTAGGCAAAAGTCAACAGTCTTCGGTCGACGCGGGTGGCCTTGAATGAGGGGAGAGAAAGTCACGATGAACAGTCTTATTATCTAAAGGAGAGTTTTGTCATTCCCGTCAGCTTTTGCCTTGAGCATCCAGCTGGTGCCAGGGGGGCCGCATGAGATGAAGATGGTAGCTGTTTTGGTTAGTGCGAACAAACTACATCCAATTTTACAGTTGGTCTAATGTCCGTCACTGGTCACCAGGTCTCTCAATTCCCGTTGTTCCGCTCCAAGATGTTATCCATATAGCAGAGCCATGAGCTTCTCCAAGATCTTATCCATACTGTGTTCAAAAAACACAGTCTGAGCACTCACAGCCCTGCCCATCGTCTATCATGTCGGCCAGCCTTGTGGGATTTTGAACAGCTGTAGCCGCTTCTTGTTCTTCGATAAGCCAGGTCCGAGCCAGCTCCAATCAGCCAGAACTCTGTTATCGTGGTTCCGAATTGGTAGAAGTTGTTCAATGTCCTCCATCGAGAGTGTCCCCAGACACGTGACGCAACCGACCACCGAGTATCCAGCAGCAAACCTCTCCTCAGGACAATCAGGCTCTCCCAAGCCCAGGAGTTGTCAGTTTCATTAAGGGACCAGTTGATCAAATCCATAATTCTTCTTTAGGTTTTTAGACAACAAGTCTGGGAGACTCTCTTAGTGTTAGAGAATAAGCGAGACTATACAAAAGACATGAGAAGCCAAACAGGAAAGATAAGGGAGAGGGAGAAAGTTTGACCGCCTCCGTCAAGAGCCAAGAGAAGAACATTAACCTATAGAGCAAGAGTTGACAGAAAAGGGGACCTGTACATGAAGATCTGTTTTATCCAAATCTAATCTATTTTCTCACTTTCTTTTCTTTTCCTGAGGTTATGCTGGTCGTACTGAGCTTCCTGACAACCTGAAGTCCATGTTCAGACCTATATCAATGGTGGTGCCTGACTCTACTCTAATTGCTGAGATCCTGCTCTTTGGTGAGGGCTTCAACGACTGCAAGGTACTAACACTGTATGGAAACTGTATCCCAGCACTGTTCTGGGAAGATAACAGAAGGCATTAATGCTGCAAGCAAAATAACGCCAAGTGATATTAGCATTTAAGACTGAAGTGCGCTCTTTGCTAAAAGCATTCGATTTGTTGCTCTACTGGTCTAACACAAATATGTTGCTTTGGTTTTAGTGCAACAAAACTGTAATATATTCTGCAGGAATGATGCTGCAAGCAAGTGTTTGAATGGTAATGTTGTATTCTTGGTTACTGCTTAAAAGAGTTGGAGTTTATCGTGGAGCATGAAGAGATTACATTACAGTATGTAACTGTTGGGATAAACTGAGGTTTATGAGGTGCAAGAACAAAGTAGGTCAAAGACAGTATTGCAGGTAGTTTTCATCTATCTATGTATCTACTTCAGGATTGCAGGGGGGCTGGAACCTATCATAGCTATCATAGGATGAAAAGGCAGTACACCTACGTACAACACAGGTTGGCAGTATACCTTAACACAGAGAAACATTCACACTTATGGCCAATTTGAAATAACCAGTTAATTAATCATGTATGTTTTCAGACTGTGGGAGAGAGCCACAGTAGCTAGAAAGAACCCATACAAACTCCACACAGAAAGGCCAGAGCTGTGAAGTGGATTTGAACCCAAGACCTTCTTGCAACGATTGTCCCATCATGCTGCTAAGATGCCATAGGGACTATGTTTTTTCTGTACCAGAAAGCAGTTCCAGTGAAAAATGGCACTATTTTGAATTATTGTTACTAGTATGCCTTAAATTTACTCTGATTTAATTTTCCCAGGGGGCCACATGAGAAACTGGAACTGTTGTGGAGACCTACACTAATAAGCTGAACTCAGTTCTGCTCATTATTAATTTCATGTCTTTATAAAGTGCTACTGATAAGAGGATATGTTAC